GGGGGGGGAAGGGGGAGGGGAGAGGGAGGAGGGAAGAGAAAGACTGATAAAGTCACAAAGACGCGATAAAGCAACAACTCTTGCGATCGATTTTTCGCCAATTTTCCATAATATATAAATAAATTTAAATGTGAGATTCCAGGTGCCTTTGGAAGTATTGGAGTTGTTCCTATCCAATTCTAGGCTGTACACTGTCATTCTGGAGAATTATCCAAGCTTATTGTTGTGTAGAAGTTTGTCCGATAAACAGCTGCAAGACTCAACGGGAGAGATTTGTAATAAAAGCGGCGTCACTATGTCAATGAGGTTAATTTGCTACGCATTTGCTACGCATAGTTACAATGCGGGTATTTAACGAATCTCTTTCTCGAACCATGTTTTCGTACACTCCTCTTATTAATTATACGACGTATATTGCTTGTCGCGCGCGCGTCAATTTCGTCGCATACATCGAATATTGCAGCAGGCTGTGGCATTTAATATTTATTATCTATATTCTACAAAGGCTTAAACGAGCAACGGAATCGAAACCAATCACCGAGCAAAAAAAAGATTCAACCTCTGTTCACGTCCCGACAAAACTCGTTTGCGACAGAAAAATGTCTAGGAAGCAGATGGAGGAAACTAATCCCTTGCTAGCGAAACAAGTCTCGCATACGGTAATTATAACGAGTGATTTGTACGATTTTTCATGATGCGGAAGATTCCATATTTGCCGCGACGCGATGCTACACGGCGCGGCGTGTTCAAACTCGATACTTTTTCTTGCTAGGTCGCACCGATTGGAAAAAGGAAATCTATATCTAGACGCTGTATCGAGCCACAGGCCAATGTCATCAGGACGGACTCCTTACCTTGGCTCAGACGACAGTTTAGCACCAACACCCATTATTTCAAGGATATCAGAGTGCACAGAAATTCCGTTATGTATCGCGGTGCTGCTCTAAATCTGCATAAATATAGATTGAGAGCGAGCAGCTGTCCGGACATCTATAGAAATAGTATGACCACGTTAGCTAAAGAGAACGAGCAGGTATTTTTTTTTTTTTATTGATCTTTTCTATTAGAAAGGATTTGCGATATATATATATATATATATATATATATATATATCGTTCTCCTTCCTTAATTTTTTTTTGGCAGAAATGGTACGCCGAATTGGTAGACTTATTAAAGAGCATGTTGGATTTCTCTATGTTTCTCGAATTGCATTTCCTATTGATGTCATTGTCGACGATATTGCTATTCACATGGTTCATTATACCGTACTTTTACCTGGCGGAACATCTGACTAGAAACGGTTACGCCGAATCCGATGCCGCCAATCTCCTCAGTATCATTGGTATAACCAATACCATCGGAATGGTAATATTAATATTAAATTTTAGTCACTGTTAGAATAATATTTTATCCTTGAATGACACTCCATGATTGGTGTTCATTACCATATATATATGCTTTTTTTAGGTTGTTCTAGGCTGGGCTGGTGATCAACCCTGGATGAATGTCAGCAAGACGTATACTTGGTGCCTGATAGCCTGTGGAGCGGCCACTATATTGATGTCCGTGTTTACTCACCATTACGTGTATCTCTCAATAAGCTCGGCAGCTTTTGGTCTTTTCTTTGCTAGTAATTTTAGTTTCACCCCCGTTATATTAGTTGAATTGATTCCTTTAGAAAGATTCACTACCGCTTATGGTCTTAGCTTATTGTGCCAAGGAATCGGGAATCTTTTGGGACCTCCGTTAGCTGGATGGTTTTTCGATGTGACTGGTTCTTGGGACCTTTCTTTTCTTATGGCTGGTGGTTGGATCATTGTCTCTGGAATCTTGGTGGGTATTGTACCGTATACGAGAAATCGTAAGATTTTTGGTAGTGGACCAATTGAGATGGAACGAACGAACGGCGATGATTTTTCAGCATAGAGAACAAAATATTTATTGCATTTATAAATTGCGCACTGGCGTCAGATAGAATAAAATTATAATAAATGTTCAAAACAAAGTTTTAATCGAATATGTCAATCGAAATTAAGAATCTCATCGTCTTTCATGTTGAGTGAACAATGTACAATTACAACTACATCTTATTAATTGTAAACGAGCAATTTTAAATTGTCTGTAGCGACAGTTTATTCATTCGTACTTTTTCCTCGTACTTAACTATCATGTTATTAATAAATTTTACTTACACCCAATACTATTAATAATTACACGTTGTCGTTAAAAATTTTAAAATATATTAAATTGTATAACATTCGTGTATACATGATTTACGCGTGCACATATTTACAAATTTATTTCTACTTAAATAGCGTTTTGTATAATCGCAAATGGCGATAGATTTAATTTTAAGTAATTAAATTTCTTAAAAATGATAGCAACAAATAGAAAAATTTGCCAAAGCAAAAAGATTGGATTTCTTGATGCAAAACAAGGGCCAATCAAGAATATATTTTATAACAAAAAGTACCTTGTAAGTACTGAAAGAGATTCGGGTGAGGTAGAAAAATATACACACGTCCATTTAATTAAATTTGAAGTGCTTACGTACGTACAATGTTTGCATAGTCAAAACATACACACACACACGCATATATATATATATATATATATATATATATATACATTAATTGTAAAACAATAATGTGTGTATACACACACGTACAGTACATTGTACGTACCTAGTATTATTTTACAAAAGTAAAACTGCAGCGACATTTGTACAATGAATTTTGTAAATAATAAGCGATACAAGTTTAATGGTATCCTTACATGCAATTTAGCTGCATAATGTATTAAAGTTGTCGTTTTTACAATTAAGGTCCATCGCACAAATGTTAACGAGTTTTTTGTTGAAAGATTTAATTGTTATATTATTAATCTTTATTATATTAATGTCATTTAATCCAAAGATTAGATAAATAGTTAATTAATAATTAACAATTATTATTATTATATTAGTATTTTTGAAAGTATAAGCGTCGCTAGGACATATAATAACATATGATAAATTTGTGTAATTTCGTTAGAAGAATTCTGCAAGATCGTTGAATTGTCTATTTTATTTAATTCAATTTGTTCAATTATGTCATTGCATGGCAACGTAATATTAAATATTTGTTATAACGATATAAGTATGTATATTATACATATATACATCCTTGCGTCCTATCTCACATTTACAATCTGAACTTATATTATACTTAAATTTAAATTTCGGTGTCATTCAGATATCTGTTCGAAGAACAGGTAAATTGAGATAAATTATAAAGTAGAAAATCTTGAATTGAATGTGAAATTGTTATTTAATAAGCGGTCTACTTATAAATACGATAGCATCACTGTTTTTATCACTATTTCGAACATGTCACATGAAATTGATATATATATATATATATATATATATATATATATATATATGTCGCAAGAAAAATTCCAATTTCTGGCCTTTTTACGATTAATTTGTAAGTACCAACGTTCGTTTATCTCAATATCCTGGAGATGTAGTCGGATTGAGTGGATTAGGACTTGGACTTCGGCTGGATGCTCTTGGAACGCCTAGAACGCCAGCGAGGTTTCGTACGCTTTTTGGAAACGCTCTCGCAATGATAAAATGTTGAGGGCCGATCAAGGCATCTCCCATTATACCAAGACGTACTCTATTTCCATGCCTGTGCAGAGTCATAGACATGTCTAAAAACATGATACATATATACGTTACAAGTTTTGGCAAAGTACAGGCGCGATCGATGTAGGTAATAAAAGGAAAGCAGATATCGCGTAAAAACAAAGCTTTTAATATTAATGACGTGTACTGCAATTTCCTTGCGGTGGCCGCCAGTAGACTGCTCCGTCTATGCCTTCCACAGGTAAATCTCCGTCGACATGCGTTAAACATAGAGAGTATCTTTTTGACAGTTGATTTAAAAGTAATTTCAAAACGATGGACGGTATGCAAGACGAAATTAATCCGCAAGATGTTTCCGCTGCTGTGATAGCGTAAATTGCGCTCTGTCGGGACCTGGCATCCTGGACGTTTCGCTGAATAACCTTGGAAACACGCAATACGTTGAAGAGATCTGATTGTATTTTTTTTTAACACGTAAATCATAAGTTGTGATATGTAAGCTGTATATAATACCTGCAGTATCTCAATGAGATCATCATGGAATAATGGCGTTTTGGTGGGTAATGCGATGCAGAGGATACCTCTGGCCTCGTGATTTCGAAGAAACACCGCTCGCTGACTCACGTATTTAACTGTCGCGAATACATCGTCCGGAACGTTAACGGCCGAGTGCCTAAAGTATTCTTTCAGCGCGTCCACGGTAGCCGCTAAAAGAATCTCCGTCTCCGTCGCGCCAGTCACATTAGCGATTTTTCGTACAAGCTCGACATCGACCTCTTCCGACCAAGCCACTACCTTCCTACCACATGGTGAGATGGTCTGCAGTCGATTCGATTGCGGATGCTTTAAAAATAGCTCCTCAATTATGATTTTCGGCGCAGTTACAGCTATCCAGCTAATGGACACCGTTTCCCGAATTGCTTGGAATGTCAGAGGAAGGTAACACGACAGCATATACGTCAAAGTGTCCGGATAACAATGTTTATGTCGCGACTGTAAGGCTCGCAATTCTCGAATGAGCAAGAGAGGCGTCTTTAAAAATGATAAAATCATCAGGTACCAGGAGAGAGCGACGCACGTGTGGAGAATATCGATTGGGTTGAAAGATTTCATAATGCAATCGAGCATCAATCGAAAATTGAAATTTCTCTTGGTCGATTCGCGCTGGACAATTGACAAGAGCTCCAGAAACTTTAGTCCTTCCGACTTTCGGCACTGTCTAAAGAAAATTGCAAAAGTTATACTATATACATATATATATATATATA